GTGTGTGTGTGTGTGTGTGTGTGTGTGTGTGTGTGTGTGTGTGTGTGTGTATGTGTGTGTGTGTTGATGCAGATGGCTGCAGATATTCTGCTGCATGCAGCAGAATATGTATTAGTGGGTTTAGATCAGGAGCAACACCTGGAATTCACACGAGCTGTAGCACGTCGGGTGTACGTACACCTGAGAGCAGCGCATGCAGAGGCCCCTTCTTCTTCCTATAATGCCACCCCACAGGGGGGCCCCCTCACTGCTGCTAAACCCCCGCCGCTGTGGGGGGCCCCCGGGCTAAACAATGGGGGCCCCCAGGGCCTCTTAGCATCTCCTCTTGCTGCTCGCATTTGCTGCTTGCGGCAGCCTCAAACAAAAATGAGTAAATCAGCGCCGTCTGCTGCCGGACGTCTTCAACTCACAGACCCCCCCGAAACAATTGCAAAAAAACTCGCAAAAGCTGTCACTGACAACTTGCCAGGTGCATACACACCCCACACTGCTCGGCAGCAGATGCTGCAGCAACAGATGCAGCAGCAAGAAAAGCAGCAGCAAGAGAGGCAGCGCCAAGAGCAGCAGCAAGAGCCGCAGCAGCAACTGCACTGCAACAGCGGCAGCAACTGAAGCAGCAACGCCTGCACCAGCAGCAACACTGCTACTTGATTGCATGCACGTGTGCATGCATGCATGCATGCATCTGCATGCATGTGCATGCATTTGCATGCGTGTGCGTTTGCAGGCATAAGCTATGAGCCGGTTCAGCGGCCTGGAGGCAGCAATTTATTGCGTTTGTTGGGGGCAGTGTTGGGTGTAACGGACCCGCAGAGTCCTTTGCTGCTGAAAGGAGGTTGTTGCACTTGGAGTGAAATAAAACAAAGACTGACAACAGAAATCAACAGAACTTTAGAGCCTATACAAAGGTTCGTAAGGCAGTAGAGGGTGTATTTTCTTTTCCTGTTGCGGTGTTTGTTAGGATGTTTGTTCGTTTATTTGTTTTTTTTGTTTGTTTGTTTGTTTACTAGGTTGTTTGTTTGTTTACTTGTTTGTTTTATTTGTTTACGTGCTTAGGGTTTAGGGCTTTTTGTGTTTGTTTGAATGTTTCTTCTTTGTTTGTTTCGTTCTTTGGGTATTTGTTGAGTTGTTTGTTTTGTTGTGCTTGTTTGCTTGCTTGTTTGTTTATTTGCTTATTTAGAGCATTTGTTTGCTTATCTATGCATATATATATATATATATGTATATAGAATATATATAATATATACTGTTATATATTGGGGTTTTCTGTCGTTTTGCTTTTTTTCATTTATTTGTCTGCCTGCTGTTCTCTTCAGGCGTTATCTTGGGGCTTTCTCTCCTTTGCATGCATTTCTGTTTCTTCTGATTGTTTCTTTCTCTTGTCTTGCGTTTCTTTGTTGTCCTTGTTTGTTCTCTTGGTTTGTCCTTTTGCTGTTGCTGCCTTCTCAGTGGGCCGATGTTGAGTCTTCATATTTTAAAAATATATATTGATGTCTTCTTATATAACAGCATGATATATATATGCATATAGATATGTATATAGCTTATGTTTTACTATCTTAATAGAAAAGGATAAGGGTGCATGTAGATATGCGTGTGCATATATTTTTGCATTGATATAAAAGAAGATAGTACACATAGAATAGTAATAGTGAAATAGCATGCATATATATATACGTATTTATATATATATGTATACATATATATAATTATGTTGATATAAAGGAATATAAATGTATTCTTTCAGTCAAGATGCGTGTAGGTCTGAGACGCGGGTTCTACACAAAGAATATGCAAATAATAATAAAATTGATGTTTGCAGCGTGGTGTATCCTCTTGTCTCTTCTTCTCTCTGGCTGTTTGTTTATCGTTGCTGTTCTCGCTGTCTTGTGCTGCTGCACTCTTTGGTTGCTGCTCATCTGCACTAAATGGTGTCTTTGCATGCAATGCATGCATGCAGGCATTGCATGCATACATATATGCGTGCATGCAGACATTTCATGCATGCATGCACGCATTGCATGCATGCAGGCGTGCACTGAAGTGTATGAACACTCTGTGCAGGCGCTTTCGCGAGCTGATGGAGGATCCCAAGAGGCTCATAGACATCCTGCAGGCTGAGGCGGAGCTCTTTAAGGCCGAAGCGGAGACGACGCTGCAGCGATTTAGAAGGGCTTTTCGCATCCTTCTGCCTCCTCAAACCCTAAACCCTAAACGCTAAGCGCGGCATACTAATACCTACAGAGCGCAGGGGGTAGAGGAAGACGTAAGAACAGGGACAGACACAGGAACAAAGACGGAGACAGAAAGTGCAGAGTTTGTCTTCTACGGACACATACAGCACGAGACGAAAGTATTTTGAAGAGCATCAACGCACATGAACAGAGGCCAAGTGCGTTGAAAGAGACAAACGGTATTTCCTGCTATCTCCACTGTCTTCTGCTGCTCTTTCTTTGGCTCTAAATAAGGCCATCAGCAGGGGACAACATGTTACCGGAAACACAACAAAAAGCATATCTTTAGGGCTTTTCATGATGTACAGTTGTCTTTATTCTTCTCATAAACGCAAACATTTTAGTAACATTTTTGCGACAGACGGAGGTATAAGGCGACGCCTTAATGTAGTACGAGCACCTTCTACGCATGCATACCCTAACAAAGAAAAGAAGGTCAAAAGGATGTATACCCTTTAGAAACAAACGGAAAGTAGAAAAAAAAGGAAGTGTCGTCTTGGGAACGAAGATAACCCCTATAGTTGCACGAATGACGTGAACGCAATGAACAAGCTTTGTTACAAGTATCTGAAAGAAGTCTTGTCTTTATGTTGGCCTCTTGCATGCATGCAAGCACCCCTATATACAATGATAGTTATTGTTATTGTTACAGTCTAATAATACACACAGAGGACGCAAGCAAGCAGCGACAAGGACGAAGAATCCTTTTGCGTGCGTTGGTCCTGGATAGCCCAGTAGACAGAGTCTGTATTACTCATTTTTTGAACAAACTCTTCAATGCAAATCGTTGATGACACAGTCATAAGAGCACTAAGGAGAGAATTCTCGCTCTGATGTTTTTCTTTATCTTGCCTACTGGGAGCAACACTCCAAAAGTATGCGGGATTATTCTGCTTGCTTCTTTTGTAGTTTGGGTCTAATGCAGTAGTAAAGTCGACAAGAAAAGTGATTGAACATGAAGAACCCGATAGATATAGAATCGCTGCAAAACCAACCAACTGGTGGATACTGGTAGTAGAAGAAACAACATTGCAAAATTTTGTGCGAAGTGCAGCTCTTTGTGTTAAATTCCCTTCTGAATAGATTTCACAGTACAAGGAAGTGTGCAGAGTTGACAGTGTGTTGTTGTAAATGCAAGTGTATTCGGTAGGTGAATATGCTTGCTTTGTAGCTACAGCTTAGTACGTGTATTTCTCTTCGCCTGCTGGCTGGCTACTGAGGGTTCAATCGGTGTTCAACAATTGGCTACATTTTAGCCCATGCAACAGTAGAGGGTTTAGGCGATATTGAACGCAGATTGTTCTGCAGCAGGAGCTGCAGCAAGGAGCGTTGCAATCTAAGGGAAGCTGCTTTCCCGGACTGTTCTGCAGCAGGACCTGCAGCAAGGAACACTGAAAACTAAGGGAAGCTGCTTGCTCTCCGCTGCAGTTTCAGGCGTTTCTGCCACTATGTCGCATTTTACGCTCATTTCTGGCCTTGATCCAGAAGTTGTTCATATTAAGGTTCAATGTTCTAGCAGATCACGGAATAATCCTATGCATGGCATGGGGGTGACACAGTGCAGAGACCGCCGACTTGGCACACTCCTGAAGAGATCACTTTAGTGAATGCCCAGTAAAAGAATGCGGAAGTGCACTTTTCAGCGCTCGCAACAGTATATGCATGCTCTAGGGTAAGAAGGATGGGGTGAGTGCCTTCGCTATGCGAACGCCTGTGCACCGTTTTGCTATTCCATTTACAGCAAAATTCATCGAAGTTCCTTGGTTTTCCCCATTGAAAGGAGTGCATTTATCAATCAACACAGCTATATTTGACCTGTTTCTCTTGGCTCATGCCGAAGCACCGTTGACTGACTCGAGGTTTCAGCTGATTGCTGGCGACCACACCCGTACGCTCGCAGCTGCTTACCTCCATCCACAGCTTGCCGCAGCGCGAAATGCATGAAGAAAGCACAGGAAATCCAGGAAAGAAACAATGACAAACGATAGTCGGCACTCGCCTCCAACCCAAGCGGCTTGGTTCTAGTGGATTCGCTTGCTAGACGGAGTGCGCATGAGTGCAAGTGGCAAAGAAAGTTCGCCTTGTACTGGGTAGAGCGCCCCCTTGATGCTCATTCCTAGGCTGGAGTGTAGGCTTACTTCGTCGACTTTTTCCAACGTGGGAATACCACCTAAACATTGAACTCAGCTTTCTTAAAACCCTCTAGACAACCATCGAGGTCGCTTCGATCTCTCCCTGCGGAAAGGCAAAAATGCCATATAGGAAAGCAGCTGGAGGAACTTGAGGTCCTCTGCACACGTGTATCTTCTAGCAAGAATTACATTTTACTTTATATGGGCAGGACACCGATGACTGGACTAATCATGTGGGGGTCACTTTTGCGGAACACCTCCTCAGTAACTTATTCACACCCTCTTCAACGCAGGGGCGGCGATTGCATGCAAATCTCAGCTTATTATTAGATCGCATGATGCCTTCTGAAATATTGGTCCCCATGCAGCTTTTCCTTAACAAGTGCTCTGTCGCAGGTCTGGACTGAGTCATATGGTGATCACTCTTTACTTGCTCCCCTGTAACGACCATTTTCATGCTGTACTCTGCCCCACTCCCCCTTCCTATGGTTAAACGGAGGCGCTTTAGGGTGCGTCTTTTACTAGAGTGGGATGCAAGTATCGTAAGGCGGCGCCCAAAGTGGGAAATGAGCACATAGCGAAATATTTGACCAGTGGCTACACCAGTAGGTGAGCCTGCAGAAGCGAGATGCAAACCTGCTGCACATACTAGTCACAGCAGCAATGATAAATGCTGCTAGCCGCTCTTTTTCATGTTACTTCCCTTCCATTTGAACCTGGCATGTGTCTCACCCCTTCCACTGTTCCCTTAGAACACCCCGTCCTTTTAACTCATCCAAGAGCACGAGGACGCGCAGTTCCTGGGAGGGTGGGGAAAGCAGATGTACCATGTTGTGTTCGACGTTGGTACGCGCATTCCTTAAAGGGTACAGGCTGGCTAGCTGTGGAGGGTCTGAAGAGTGTACACCAATTGTGCGCAGTGATAATGCAGAAGTGTAGAGAGCGGAAGGGGGAACAAGCAACCTTTAGGAACGCTTAGCTGAGGATCACCATGATTTTCAATCGAGTCAAACAACGTAATATACATGCATGCGCAACTACGTCGAGGATGTTCGCCACATCAACCATGCTGCAGAGGGCAGCAGGGTGGGCAGTTCCTGCCCTCTTCTCTGTCTTTGTTTGTCTGTTTACTATTTAATTATACTACCTTTCTTTGAACAATGTCAACTGGGTCTTCATCTGTAGATAACTTCCCCCGCCCCCCCCTCTGCACCTCGGTAGCTGTTCCGCTGGCTCGCGAATTCGCATTGACTTGCCCACAGAATGCACTAATTCGTCTGTGAAACTGTTCTTCTCCTTCTGCTTCGCCTATTTATCTCATATTTCCTTCATTAGGCATTAGGCTTAAAGCTGATTGATGCTTGAGCGTCTTATTGTTGGTTGATATCAAGCGCAACTCGCACCGGTACGCTCGCTGGGGTTTCCTTTCTCATTTTCCAGTTAATGCAACTGCAATATGTTTTTGACATCCAGCTAAATAACTCCGTTGTTTTCCATAAAAGAAAAGGAAACATTTGTGCGAATCCGATGTTGGCGGTCCCCTCATTTTCCGCCGGAGCGATGGGGGGCTTCTTGATAGGGGCTGGGCTGCTCACCTTTCCGGTGGTGACTGGTAGGTCAACATATCGATGTATTGCTATTCCGTTTTTTCGCATGTAAGTACTTTTGTTTGTATTTGTTTTGCTGCCTCGTCGCCGGTTGTTTATTTTTCTCCGGCGCTTCCCCTGAGCGCGCGCCGAGCCCTTGGGGTCCGTTGGGGTCCTGATCGATTGAGAGCCGTTCCTGTTTGCATGAGGAGGCTCTTGACTTTTTGGTTTTAGCTCTTGTGGAGATGAGTCCCGGGGAGACGACGACACCAGAACTCCCTCACCGGAGGGGACCTTCCCCAATGGACCACTCAGAGAGCAGCACGGCTTACTTGCCTGTGATGCCCTTTGTGAGCATGAAAAGCTGGAGTGCAGCAGCAGAAGCGGCAGCAGAAGCAGAAGCAGAAGCAGCAGAAGCAGCAGCACCATGGAGTCCTGGTGATGAGGACTTGCGTCTTGTGGACGGGTTGCCGAAGCAAGCAGAGCTTCGCGAGTCGTCGCGGGCGGTACGAACGTTATTTGCAGCAGTTGTAGTTGTTTTTTTCCTAGCCCTTGGGTGCCGCGTGTCTCTCCAGCACCTCAACAGGCTCCTGCGGAAAGAACGACACCATGGTTTACGGCTCGATTCGACGGGGCTGCGGCAGCTTGAGGAGGAATTGGATGCTGCTGAAGCAGCACTCATGAGCGGATGGGGAAAAGCGTCTCCTGTTGTGCAGGAGGCGTTTCAACGAAGCTTCATGCCAAAGGGAGGGGGAACCACTTCTCAGGGAGATTGTTTGTTGCCATTTCAGGAGCGGCTGGGTGAGGCGCAGCAGATGGTGCGATGGCTGCAGAAGCAACAGGACCTGCCGCAGGGTCAGCAGGACGTGCAGGGGCAAAGTGCTGAGTTGCGCACCGCTGCGTTGCAAGTGGTTCTGGTGAAAAGCATAACTTCTGCAGCCGCTGAGCGTGTCTCGTATTTGAACGATCTGGAAAGCTTGTGCGATGAGTGGGGAATAGGATCTGTTCTGCTGCAGCGGGAGCAACCGTCGTTGCAGCTTGATCAGGAGGAGGAAGGCATGGTTGACGGCATGTCTTTTCCGGAGTTTCTATTCCTGCTTCAGCAACAAGGTTATGGCAAGAGCGCCTATCCAAAACCCGTCGGGGGGGCTCCGGGGGAGCCGGGGTCTGATGTGGGGGAGTCTGTGCCGCGGAAGTTGGGGGAGCGACTGGTGGGGGTGTTTTTATCTTCGCGCATGCGTCACGAATCCGATGCGCGGGTGCAGAGCATATTTCAAGGTTTTGTGGATACGTACAACGAAGCAGTTGGGAGGGGAGCAGAGGAAGGGGTGAACGAGCGAATTGTGGGATGGTCAGAGAGCATCGAATTGAATGCAGGAACAGGGGAGACCTTCCCTGTGTTGCTTTTCGAGGGTTTTCTCGGTGAGGTTAGAGGTAACCTGCAGCACGGGGGTTTGAAGCACCGCGTAGACGAACACATTGTCTGGGTTGCAGGGGACTGGGGCTTGGATCGCTGCACAAAGGGGATCGCAAACATTCAGCAAGAACAAAAAACAAGCGAAATTAAAAACCGTATTGACAAAATGAAAATGGGTGCGCAAGCACGCATCGTCCTAGCCTCCGCCCCACTTGTACAGGCATCCCAACCAGACGCCAACTCGTTAGGGTCCCTTTCCCTCGCTTTGTCGCTTCTCTAGACAAACGCCCAACTGAAAAGAATAACACAAACAACAGCACGCAGATGGGGAATTTCACACAGAGAGGGAAATACACACAGGTGGAAAGGTGCGTGCAAGGCAGGCCCCAGACACCAAGAGATGCAGAGATGAGGAACTAGACAGACTTTCCTAACAGTAAAGGGGATATTAGGAGATACGCACGACGAAGCAAGCCAGACAGTCCGTCGTGTGTCTCCGTCATCCTTTGGCCTCTTGACTCCGCGCTGCGGGTATACGGCTTATTTATCATTGTCCGCAATATCGTGGGGCTGTTTATTAGGAGTTCAATGTTGTGTGGATGCTGTCTGGCTCCGTCCTTTGGTTCTTCACTTCGACTGTCTGTGCCGTCTGCCCCCACAGCGAAAGGTATTTGCTGTAATTCCCCCCTTTGTCTGCTTCCCGCGTTTTGGTGCTTGTTTCGCTTGGTAAATGCGTCTCCTGCTCTGCGGAAGAAAGGGGTTAGTACACCTCAGTTGCCTGCCGAAGATGAGTGCATCGTTAAGACGGTGCCTACCTATGCGAACGTCGGCGGTGAGAATTCCCCTTCGAGGAATTCAAACTCAATGTACCCGGCAGCAGCAGCAGCAGCTGCTGCTGCTGTGCTGGAGCAGCAGCAGCAGGTGCTACTTTGTTGCTGCAGCAGCTAGTGTGTAGGTGGGAGTCCTAGTAGCTCTGTCCTTCCGGCGCCCTTCGTGCAGTTCTTAGTTATTTAGACTCTACGAAAAGCAGCTGCACAACAGGGCATGCAAATAATTCTTATTTGATTTCGAATTATGTGCATATTTGGGTTTGAGCAATACAAAGACAATTTCAATAGATTGGTTGGAAGCAAAGGAGACGGCCGCACCGACTTTATGGCCGTCTCCCCGCGGCGTAAAGCCGCGGCGCCGTCCGCATTTTTCTTTTTCCGGGTTCCAGCAGATTGTCGGCACCAGCATGGTGGCTTTTGGTTTTTTTGATTGATACCGCTGCAAGACAATCTTCCCGATTAGCATGTTGTCTACTTCGCTCTTCAGCTCGTCTGCTCTGCATTATAGCTTACTAGCAGAGCCAGTCTTCCAGGGATAGTTGGTATTTCAGATGTCCGTGCACTTTTCGTGTGCCCCTATACCTTAGTGGTCTATCTTCTCCGCTTCCAACGTTGCGGTCGTGCCACTTGCTAGACCATCAGAGTGCCCCGAACATTGCTAATGCTTGCGTGAATGACTGTATTGTATGTGGTATCAACGTTTCATATCTCGTTTTGTGTGTTGAGCCCATCAGCACAAACAGTTTTTGCGCGCATTTGCACTCAAGAGGGCATTTCTCCGGTGAAAGACTATCATATAGAGAGAGTATTGCCACTAGTGTTCGTGAGACTATCATACGGCGTATTCTCAGTTGCATCCTTAGTAGGACTAACCTCCTTATTCCTGAGGATTTCGCATTTGTCACTCCTCAACTCTTCTTTAAGTGCGTTACAACAACGAGAAATTTCACGAAGCCAAACGCCTCCACAATACGACCATGAGAATCAAAGCCTATAACGTTATGAAGCGTATTATGCATACGTCGTGACACACATTGTGCACCGCTTGCTCAAAATAAGTTAGAAGAAATTTTGAATTTATTGCGGCTAGGTGCTCTCAAACGATAAGCTCATAACCCTGGAAAGTTGAAATATTTTCAGCAATATGAATTGAGTCCTGAGCGGTCTCAAAACTATAAGAAAGCACTATGAATACTCAAAACGCCCAAACATAAGTTCTTATGTGCTGCCACCTACTGAGTGAAGATCAATCTTGGGATCACAGGTTGATATCCCCTGAAGGTTCTTTCTGACGATATTCGCGTCAATGGAGATTAACGGTGAATGCACCGTCACTCACAAGTCCCTTACTTCTTGCTACCATGCACAGTAAGGGAGTTTATAGTTGTGTAGTATATTTCCCTTCTGCGTAGGGTTTATCTACCAGCTCTGTTTGAGGAGAAGGAATTAGCTGATGAAGTGCATGCGCATCCTCATTTGCTTAGCCTGCAAGGGTATTATTGGTATATGCATTTTTGTCAATGGCTAGCAAGGCGAGCAGGCCTACACGCCACGTGGATTAGGGAGGGAATGGATATAAAAGTCCATGAAACCAAACAGATTTATTCAGTCGATGTTCACTACTACAGACGTTCTTGTCCATGGTCTTACAGAGACACTGGTAACTGATTACGAGGCTACAATTGCCTCTTGCACGCAAAGGTTTCTGAACAGCGACGCGGCTTACTTTCAAGCCATTCGGTTTGTCTGAATTTTTGTTTTGGCGCATATCGAACCTTTCAAATTGTTGGCAGCAACTATCATTTTCACAATGTATATAGTAGTTTCGCACTCCCGAATACAAACACTCAGGCTTTTATATGCGTATTCACTCGATATCCCCTTTTTCATGCACCTTACTGCTCCTTCGTGTACGTTGCGCATTTCCACCTCCAGGTGGAATGGTTGTGGAACGAGAGGCCTCGACCTTCATTTTTGACAGTCGTGAACTGCAGTAGATTCTAAAGACTTTACACAAGACTTCGTGAAAAGCAGTTACTCCCTCACAGTCTGCAAGCCTCCAATGCGCAGCGGCGCAGTGGCCTGAGGCGGATGCGGAAGGGAGCTGGCCTTTCATGAGTTGTAACGCACCTTGCTGAAGCTAATGGTGCGGGGAGGACCCACGTGCAAGAATAGGCAAGTCCTCTCTTCATGATGCACAAAACTACAGAGGATTGTTATATTGCAGCATGCTCTCTTCGAACTTGGGACATGAACATCGGTTGGGCCTTTGTAGGCGGCCTGGAATAAATAATCGCACTACAATTGGGTGCAGTAAGTCAAGACGTTAAAAGGGGGTTTAATTGTGCTCTCGTGGGAAGGTGCATTGCAGCAGTAGTTGCAAAGAGGTGCGTTGCAACACGATCTGGCTGCGTGCTTGCCCCGAGCCCCAGTCCCTTGGCTGGGTGTTTCAAAAAAATCTGATGACAGCAGCTGCTTTCCTGGAACTCCTAATATGCCCGACCGCTGCTGGCCCTCGAATAAGAGTCTGGCCTCATGTTACACTCGATTCACTCACTTTGCGCTCACTGGCCAGCCTGTGTAATGATAGAAATACTAATAGCAACTTCAGACAAACCGCTTACTGTGCTTTTCCTAGGTATTTGATTGAATATGGGAATAAATGAACATGCCACTGAGGACTCGTTGCAGTAGCTGGTGGAAAGGTTTTAAAAAAGAGCACACTTCAGGAAAGGGTGCTTTTATGCTGGTTGAAGGAACGGCATTTTGTCCTTTCTTTTATCACTTGATCGTATTATTTCATTCAGGTTTTTGATTGAATAAGCGTGCAAGAGTATGAGATGAAAACAGCACCCTGTTTTCCAGTCCCGTCGCATGCGCCGTCGGCTGCAGCTTTTGTTCCAAGCCACTAGTGAAGAAATCCTGTGCGAAAAGAAGGCTCTTCTCCTTTTCATATAAATTTAACTACAATTAAATGAATCTAGGCAAGTTTCAATGGATATGGCAACACACCACTGCTGCGAAAGCTGAACACTGCGCAGCTGATCACATGCTGCTTGTCATTTGAAGCACCAGAGCCGGAGTGGACCGTTGGAGGTGTCTACATTCTTCTTTAATTTCAATTAATATTTATTTCAGAATCTGCGTGTTTAATCTACTTTGCGTTTATGGCAATTTGCAGTTGACAATTTTTTGCGGTTCCGCCCCGAGCGTTGCGCCCTTCAGTCATTTTCAATATCGCCAACACAGCCGAAGCCACCGCACTCAACTTGCTTTCTCATTTTCCTCCTGCCCCCGAGCATCTGAATATTATCATTTTAATCTCAAATGCAGTAACCTTGAGGAAGAAAACGAAGACCATGGACGACACGCAAGACCTCGCGCAGTTTTTCGCTCAAGCGTTGACGAAAGATTTCTGGCAGCGGCATTTAACGCGTGAGCCGTTTTATATGTCGTTTGTGAAAACCTGCACCAAACAAATGAGCATGTGGGGAAATACACCAACGCTACCGATATTTGTAGGCACACGAGAAGGGAGCTTCTCGATCCAGGAACGCCTTCTGGCTGTGCAGGGAGTTAGTCGGCAGCGCAGTACCATGAGCCCAGAGCAGTGTGTGGCTCACACAAAATTTTCAGCTTCAGGAAGTTCCATGAGAAATAATGATAAGACAAGATCGCTGATCGAGTGTAGTTGATAATGCTGTTTATAGGCATTTACGGGTTGCCTGCAGTTTCCTGGGAATGTGCTGCGCCAGCCATCTTCTGCATATTTCGGTTGCTTCGCTGTTTGGCCTTTTATGTACGGTTTGCTGTTTGTAGGCGCGAACCTCCAAAGGGCCGCACTGGTCGTAGGGGTGCTCGTGTGTCTACGCTACTTTGGGGCCGTGTAAGGGCTTCGAGCGTCCTCTGGAGTTATCTTCTAATCGCTTTGCTCGTGTTTCTGATTGGTTAGATGTTTCTTTTCTCGTTCTATTGCTGATGTTGATGACTTTCTCGTTGATTGCCGTTCTTTGCAAACACATTTGCTCTTCCCTGTTCTGCTACCTGCTGTTTCTTTTGCACTGGAGGCGGTGGCTCTACTGTATTCCTCTTGTTGCGTTTGATATATCGTTGTGAACAGTAGCAGCTGCATAATTCCCTACTCCTTGGCGCTTTGTTGCTGTTGTTGCAATTCTAATCATCGTTGGAGAGAGGGAAAGACCGTCTGTGGCGTTCCTTTTTGCCATATATTAGACTCGTGCTTAAGCGTAGCTATTGTGATTCTTGCTGGCACTTTAACCATTCCTGACTTGTGCTGTTATTTGTACTACGGCTACTTGCTGCCCTGCTTTTCACAGTTTCGCGGATCAGGTTGTTGCGACCCTGCTATTGTGCAGCTTCGCCTCCGTATTCGGCATTTTCTTGATATTCCGAAATTTAGGAGAGCGCAACGGCGGTGCTAGCGCATACTCCATTTTTAACAGAGGCGCCAATTACCTCTTAGGGGACCTCCGCCTTAACCGCATCGACCAGGAACTCCGCAACGCAGGTCCTCGCGCAAACCCCAAATCTTTACTAAGCCTGGAAATCGTCAACACTAGAATCCACAAAACCTCCTCCTCATCTCGCCCTAGCAAGCGTTGAGATTAAGCACGTGCATGCAAGCCTGTGTCTACTAGTGTGTGTGTTAATGGCTCTGCCCCCACCACGATGGGTGCGGCTTTTTGCTCCTGTTCGGCTTACATTTGGGTTGCTAGTTTTCATCCTGAAGCTTCTTGACCGTAAATTATGCAACATATTTTTCAGTTGTTGATGCCGCGGATACATGAGATTTGGCTTTGTGTGGGGTAGCTGTGCAACCAGCAGCCCTATTCTTTGCCACTTATTCCTTGCCGCTGTTGCTGTTGCTACTGTTTGTGTTGCTACTGCTGCTGCTGCTGACTGCACCTACAGATGCTGCGGTCGACGATGACGGGCGAGTTGTCGAGTACCGGCCCCCTCTGGAGCTGAGGTCACGCGACGCCAACAAGAAGTGTCCGTGTGGCTCAGGGAAAAAGCTGAAAAAATGCTGCGGTGTTTAGTACTAGAGGTATATCAGCAGCAGCAATAGCAGTAGCAGATACTGTTGCTGCGGAAGCCTTCTGCCGCGAACGCCGGCTTTTCATTGTAGCTTCCGGGGGGCACTGCTCCTGTGCGCATAGTGGGGCACGCATGAGGTTTGGAGCGCAGACGAAAGGCTTGTTGCTCTTGCACGCCTTATTTCAGATGTTTTTTGAGTTCTTCGCCAGCACATCTAACTTGGTTACGGAGGGTGGCCTACAAAGGCATGATTCTTTTGGCATCCGAGAAATGGGAATGAACTGTTACCTTTAAAAGTGCGTCTGTTGGTTCATTAGTATTCTGTCGTCTAGACTCTTTGCCCAGCTCTTCCTTTGCCTATTGTTCTTCCCCTCGCCTTTGTACCCATCTTTATACGTATATGTATGCACAATATATACATACATACATATATATGCCATATCCCCTAGCTGGTGTAGGATTGAAAAGTACAGTTAACATGCATAATCGCATACCTTCCATGCTCGTTGGTACCTCCGCTTGAGTAGGGAGCACCGAGCAGTTCGTCCGGCGTATGGACATGCAAGAGCTCACGTAGTTACACACAAATGAACGGCTTAGAAACTCACATATTCTCTTCTTTTATGCACGCTGATACCTACTGGATATATCATCATTTTCATATTTCAGGTTTCCTTGGGTAGAAGCCGGCTAGATAGGCACGCGAGCATGGTCGCCAGCGGCGCGGTTGGCGCAGTAACGTGGAACTTCGCTTAATTCGTAAATATAGGTGGCAGCAACAAAGTTTAGTCCTCCCCTTCAATGAAATATAAAATATTTAGACTTGGCTCGGTGAATAGGCACCTGAGAGTCACTGCTACCGATGGGGCTGCGGTGCGAGGCCCTGCAGAACCGGTGGACCTGCGGTCTTGGATTGGCAGGATCTGTCGATTTCAGAGGCCGAGACAGGCTGAAATTAGTAGTGCTTTAATATATTTGTTGAGAATGAAAGGAAGTTCTGCAAATTTCAGTCGACGGAACTTAGAGATCTAGAACCTTTCCTCCGCCGATTGTACCTTGAGCGGTCTGGGGTGCTGCAGAGAGTGAAGCAACGTATGCGGTTCGGCAGATTCTTTTGCGCAAAACACCCGGTTTGTTTATTAATATGTTTACTTGCGGTTTTGGTTTCGTGTAAGCGAGGACCTGTTTTTAGCCGCTGAGCGCCAGACAGACGTACGCTCGTCGGCTGTGTATTGGCCAACCATGACGGTCGCTGGTAGGCGTATCTCCTCAGAAAGGAAAGGCGATTTACTTCTGTGCTTTTTCCTGGGGATCTTCCTGCTGACTTGGAGTTCAAGTGCTGAACAACCACCCTCACAACAAAACCGCGCGAGTAGGTTGCGCCGGGCTGCCAGCCTGAACGTACTCGACTCGCACGTAGATGGACCTTTTCCTGGGCTACGAAGGACACGTTCGCTTTCCCCACAGTGAGTGTCCTTTCTGCAGAGACACCAACGCTCCCCTTTCTAGTCTTTCGCCGCTAAGTCTAGAGCGGAACAACCGAGCAGTTTGCGCTAGAGAGTCTCACCCATTTGTGCGTTATTGTGCGTGTGAGTGCTGCAGTATGGATCTAGAACCGACAGCCGAAGGTAAGACAGCACACCCCTAGTACTCTTTGCGCGTAGTCAGCTGTGGGCTCTTGGGGGCTAAAGTCCGTCTGGCCCCTAGCATGGAACTCGCCAGCACAGTCGTGTTTATGCGTCGTAGTTTCATTCTTAACGCAGACCAACAGCCCGACAGGCCACTGGCTTTGTTGTCCTTTGCGATTGTTGTGCCATTTGCGCAGAAGTGAGTTACGGTTGACAGTTTTGGGGGGACGGGGGGGGCGACGCCCACTTCGAGTCACCTCCACTGCGCTGACGGCAAGACGGCCTACGGCGTGTCAATCTGATAGCACACACACACACACACACACACACACACACACACACACACACACACACACACACACACACAC